ATATATATATATATATATATATATATACATACACACACAAAAATGTTAGCTGCTTCTACTCTCGTACAAAAAGTCAGCCATCTAGGGTTTTGTTTTTGCCCCAGACTGCACATATCTCCAGACTTCATTATATAAAGACCACGATGTCCATTCAATTAAAATATGCCAATTAGGAGTATAATTATTTTTTCCAAACAAAAATATAATAGCTGATAATCATAGCCAATATCTCATAAACTATCTTTCACTGCGATAATCATGCACTTAAAACAGCAAAGTAGATAATAACCACCTCCTTGAAAATGAAAATCATTTATAGTTTACAAAAACTCAGAAGTATCGAGAGAAAATGCACAGATATTATTAATTAGTACATTACAATATAGCATTTGTCACAAGATATTCCCGAAAAGTTCCTAAGTACTCACAATAAAATAAAAAATACAGTAACAACTGTAATTGATAAACAAACCAAATGATTACCTTGTTAAAGAAGTGAATGGCACTTTTTACATTTCCTTGTCGACTTTCGTGCTCTCCTTGAGTGAGACAGATTGTTGATTTCTTTTCGCCTGGTTTCATCTTACGAATTTCTCGTTCTTCTTTGTCTTGTAAGCTGACTTTAATGTCCTTTGTTCCATACGCCACGCTAGCCGCACGGTCCTTGTCAGTATAAAATTCGTCTTTCATTGGAAATTTTTTCTTGAAATCTTCTAATGCACAGGTCCCGCCCTCTATGGGGGTTCTTTCGTTTTCCTCAGAATCTAAATCGCCCTCTCTCTGCCGAGAGATGAACGACGGAGACTTCTTAGTCCTAGGCGATCTTGGCGAACGTGGGGAGCGCGGCTCCGATGAAATCGATTCTCTTCGCTTTTCTTCACTATTAAAATCTACACTGAGAGAAGAGAATGTCGACTCTGATGTCGGATTGTCGGTCTGGAGTTCTTTCAAATTCAGTCGTTTTTTTATCTGATGGTTGTCTTTTTCAGTATCCAACGTTGTAACTCGTTCTTTAGTTGGCGTTTCAACATTTGGACAAGGTTCAAGATGACAAGGACACTTTACAAGTTTCGGTTTACTATTGTTTCTTACATTTGGATTTGCTACAAACAATCCATTCGTTGAATTGCATCCAATGGAATTCTGAACATTAATTCGAGGAGGTTCTGGCAGCATATTGACCAGAAAAACGGTATGATTTTTGAATTAAAAAAAATCAAAAATCAATTTTGAACGTAGTTGAACTTCCATCTTTTGCTGTTCACTTCGTATTAAATCTATTTATGTTTAGTTTTCGTTAAAATTCATGCAGCTTATGCAAAAAACAAGAAAATATATTTTCGACAGGAGGTCCATATAGCAATCATTCATAATATATATATTTTACCTAAAACTAAAAACTTTTTTTCCAAAACTAACATGCACTGGAAATGCTTATATCTACCGTTCCATAAAGTTTTTTAGAATAGCTTTGATTTTTAATCCCACATAAGTCGAAACGAATATTTTAGTTTGAAAATACCAAAAAATAACAGACATGTTGTATAAAGACTGATAAAACTCACTCTGAGATGATTATATTTCAATCGGGTATCACTATAAAATCTCGCTTCAACAAATTAACAGACCAGGCCATTCATATTTGTACAAAAACACGTACTTGGCGGAATATACACACATGCACACCAATTGATTTTCGTTAGCCTGCAGAACGTTGCCATAGCAACAGGTCACAACATACTCACTATCAAACTAATGTTTTATAAATTACAATTAAAATTTCGATAAAAGAAGAATGGTCTCAATAACTACCTGAAGTAAGATGTTATTCAAGATCACGCTGAAGATGCTATATTACACGCACACATACACATATAAGTATAAAAAATATTTTATGTATATAATAATCAACTTGATGAACGTAGACAGATAATTACATGAATATTTCTGAGGCAATTACACTTGTTCTTATTAAATCCAATTCACACTTTAACTTGAAGTTCTGCTGCCCAAGTCTTTTTAATTGAAAACACCGATGATGTGGGATCTAAGACCATAAAGTATCTCCTTCTATAACTTTTTTATCACTAAATTCACGTACCTCTCTAACCTTATTCAAAAATTCCGAGTTGCTCACCTGCAGACTTGATTGTAGCTTGTCGTTGTTAAAAGTCTAGTCTGTCTCGTATTGGTCCGTCAAGCCTTGTTGACAAAAAAGTTGATTCTGTGACTGATGACCCGACAGTCATGTGGAAAGATAGGGCTGTCACTAAGGGGGTTCTCTAATTGTGATTTATTCATATAGCAGAGGAAATGATACTGGTCAAGTTACTGAGAAGTTTAAAGGTAAATTAAGCCCTCTCTTCAAAATTGTAGAAGGACCTATTTTATCTTATACCATTTTTATTACAATGATGTTTGTGATACCCCACTCCATGGTTGGTTTTCATGTGCCTACAACACACACACTCACTGACAAAATCCTAGAGCCTCCTTATGTTGTGAGAATTGTGTGTCAATTTACCACAGAGACAAAGGAAAAAGGTAAATTTGGCGCCACAAGAAAGATTTGATGTGAGTAGTGAGTGTGTTGGCTTTCTAGGTTTTCTCTACCCTGTAGCTTAAGCCCTTCTAGTTTCATCTAACATGATATTTGGATATAGAAGGATTATTGAAAAACACTAAGAAAGGATATGCACATAGAAACTTGACCAAGATCAAAAGAACTAAGACTGACAGAGGGAACTTCTGTTCAAAATAGCATGTTTGTAAGGACTTAATGCATAACAGTCTGACCTCCTGTCCATATGGAAAAATAGTAAATACTTCCATTAACACAAGCCAATCATATAACAAGTTCTTAGTTGGAAGCAAACTGCGAATGTCACTATCAGTGCTATAATGTGAGTTGATCAAACATTGTTTCACGAAGGCGTCTTTAGCACGCCATTCCCGGAATTGAATTCAAATATTGGCAAACAGGCAAGACGCAACATGTAATGATGAGATTGAAGCATCTGGCAAACACCAGCTATCTCTCCCAGTTACTGCCATTTGCAGTGGTTGATAACCTCGTAAGGGCATGACCGTAGCTGGCTCAATTGGTAGACTTTCCATAAAGGGGGAAAGCCTGACTGAGCACTGGTGAGTAGATTTAGTCTATGTAAGACTTAGTTGTAATGCACACACTAATGTGGCACCATTATCAGCTGCACTGAAACACACATATTAAGATTTTCACGTTAACAAGTGTACGGTACCCCAACTGACTTACAAAAGGAGAAACTGCTGGTGAGGATGTCATTATCATAAACCTACAAAGACTGGAGTTTCTGCCTTGTTGCTGATAATTTGAGGGTAGCACTAGGAAGCAGTTAAGCCCACCAGCATTCTAAAGAGTAGCAAGAGAAACAGTAGACTGCTTCAACAAGTGTTTAGGCTTCAGTAGCAGACAAGATGATCAACCAACTGTGGACATAGCAGCTAGGATGGTACAAACCTCAAAAGTCTAAGTGTTAAAATGAAATCACAGTGAAATATTTAAGCACAGTCTCATCATATTGGATCAAATGTCTTCTTCTAGTAGAATAAAATAAGCAAAAGTCAATTTAATGTTCAACAAAATGCCAATTTATGTTATTAATTTTCTTTATTTTTAGAGGGTGACAGGGCTGTGTTTAGATATGCCTTCGAAGTCATGGGAGAAATTTGGGGCAGCAGCATTTGATATCTTTCATCCATTTCCAAGTACAGTCTACATCGAACTCACAGGATAGGTCTCTGCTAGGAGCATTCATCTCTGCAGATGGTACAATGAGTTATAGCCAGATTGGCAGAGGACTGGAAAATTACTCACCCTCCAAAGAGTTTGTTCTAGTAAAATTACAGACAAATGTCCATTAATCTAACGTATGTATCTAATGTATCTAACTAGTATGGTATTCCTGAGTGGTATCAATGCTGGCCTATGCTACAACCTGGACTACTGATCAACCAGAGATAAACATAAATCAGAAATGACCCCTAGAGAAGTACTTTCATTATTTTTTATAGTTTATGTTAAATGACAGTTTAGGTTTTATTCATAGTATGAAGATAAATATCAGTCAGAATTGACCCCTAGAGAAGTACTTTCATTATTTTATAGTTTATGTTAAATGACAGTTTAGGTTTTATTCAGAGTATGAAGATAAATATCAGTCAGAATTGACCCCTAGATGGACAGTCGCCTTTATTGAAGTTGTGAATTGATTAGGCTGGCTCTACTCTCAAGAGTTATTTCCAATCTGATCGACTCACTCAAGATTATGTTTCACATTCATTTAGAAGAGATTTTGTACAAGACAGATTAAATCTCATGTTACGTTGATTAAATCATAATGCAGACTTGCCTGGAGTGATTAGCGCTATTTACGTAATGGTTATTCCCTTTCAAATATAAGAGAGGTTGTAAACTCGCGATATCACCTGACCTACCATTGGGGACACTGCTGTTGACTTTCATCTAGCTTTACAGCTATACCCTCTATGGGCAGACTAGGTGTTAACTCCAAGGTTTGTATGTTTGAAGTTAAGCACAAAGCAACACAATGTGTCTGTCCACCGCGGGTATCGATACCTGGTTTCTAGAGTTGTATCTCTAAGGAAATAACAAAGAACAAGTATAGCTAGAACTACATCAACTTAAAAACCTCCTTGACTACGTGTTATGTAAAACCTATATACTTAGAACAATCGAAAATGTTTGAAACATTCTCCATTAAAATGAGAAAGTGGAAAATGCACGATATGCCTGCATACCACAATATGCCACTAAACATCCTCTATACTTTGAGCTGTGAGTACGTTATAATAGTGACAATTAATCTCAGTATTCGTTTGTAGGCAGAAGGTGCAGTGGAAAGGTTGTATTCCCTCTGTCAGGAGTTCTAAATTAGGGATAGCTATGCCTCAGAAATGTAGTATCCTATCTGGATATTTACCCTATATGTCACAAAAAAGTACTTTTCACATCGAGAATACCAAAGTGTAATGTATTGGAATTCGTATTTTGTGTCTATGACAAAGCTACTAAGGCTCTTTGCTGATATCCTTTATTCTGAACCACTTACCAGAAGGAAGGCAGCCACTTAGTAGCATCCTACCATAAACCACCCATGCTAAGGAATTGTGTGTTACTCTTATAATGCACCCACAGCTTAAAGTGTGTGGGGGGGATATTTTGTGATATCGCATGGCTTCATACTAGCTCGTCAGCTCCGAAATCCAGAGTTCTACCACTGGGCCAGCCCGTAACCCCTAATTCTAAAGCTCCTTTTATACATATAATTTATGTGTTCAAATTATTTGTAAGTGATGTGTTTGTTTATACTATATTTGCTTTCTGTTTAGTTAAATTTGTTTTTGACTTTTAATGGTATGTTTTTCTACGGTCATGGCCTACACGGCCATAACAAATATCGGTTAAAGTTTTAATCATAACAAAAACACTATAGAAAAATAATATAGGTTTCAACAGTTAGCAAAACTGATATTAGCAGATATAATGCTTAGAACGACAACAGTTTGTATGCCTGAAAATGATTGCTAGGAAACAGCTAAAGTTTGAAAGGGAGTTGCAACCTTTACTTTTCGAGCTATCAGGTAGAATTCTACAGTGAAATATTTGTAACATATTTCATGTTATTCACTGGATTTTAGTTTTTGGAAATGGGATATATAGATATCTAAAGAACCTTGAATGTTAAAAGCTAGCAGGCTGTCGGTAATTTCAGGTATAC